CTTACAACCTTTCAACCATATTAAACAAAACCAATTTTACAACACTTTTTAACTAACTTATGAAAATAACAATTTTACAATACTTTTTAACTAACTTATGAAAAGAGGCATTGTTTCAGAACATATATAAGTTACAACCTCACAACCATATTTAAAAAAACCTCTTTCACAATGTTTTATAACTAACTTATCAAAAAAAATTTGTCAAAATATTACTTTTAACTAATTCTAAAATGGACACATTGTTTCAACATTTAGAATATAGATACAACCTTTCAAATTAATGAAGATTCAGAACCTTTGGAATTAATGATATTTGTTATTTTAAAAAAAAATATAAATACAAATGAAGATTCACAACCTTTGGAATAAGTGAAAATTGTTATTCTTTAAAAATTATAAATACAAATGAAGATTCACAACCTTTGGAATTAATGAAAATTGTTATTTAAAAAACAAAATCAAATGAAGATTCACAACCTTTGGAATTAATGAAAATTATTATTTTTTGAATGGACACATTGTTTGGAAATAAATTAAAAAAATTAAAATAAAAACACAACCTTTCAACTTAAAAGGAAGTCACAACCTTTGGAATTAATTGGGATTACTTTTCAAAAAAATGAGGATTCACAACCTTTCAGAAAAAAAATATTTACAATATTTAATAACTAACTATTCAAAAGATGCATTGTTTCAAAACATATATATATTTTAAACACATATTACTTACAACCTTTCAACCATATTAAACAAAACCAATTTTACAACACTTTTTGAGGGAAGTCGGAGCAGAACGTCTTCTTCCCGTTGTTGTCAAAGATTTTCTCGAGAGTGATATAATGAAGTGCCACCAACGTCGTCTCCAGCATGTCTAACTTATGGAAATAACAATTTCACAATACTAACTTATAAAAAGAGGCATTGTTTCAGAACATATATAAGTTACAACCTCACAACCATATTTAACAAAACCTCTTTCACAATGTTTTATAACTAACTTATCAAAAAAAAAATTTTGTTAAAATATTACTTTTAACTAATTCTAAAATGGACACATTGTTTCAACATTTAAAATATAGATACAACCTTTCAAATTAATGAAGATTCAGAACCTTTGGAATTAATGATAATTGTTATTTTAAAAAAAATATAAATACAAATGAAGATTCACAACCTTTGGAATAAGTGAAAATTGTTATTCTTTAAAAAGTATAAATACAAATGAAGATTCACAACCTTTGGAATTAATGAAAATTGTTATTTTAAAAAAAATAAAAATACAAATAAAGATTCACAACCTTTAGAATTAATGAAAATTGTTATTTTTTGAATGGACACATTGTTTGGAAATAAATTAAAAAATTAAAATAAAAACACAACCTTTCAACTTAAAAGGAAGTCACAACCTTTGGAATTAATTGGGATTCCTATTATTAGTAGATTAAATTATTTTAGGTTTTTCCAAATTATTCAACTACAATAGAAATTAAAATAAGGATAGAGTATCAATTCTCAAAAGATGAGCAAACACATGAGTTCATACATCACACACAACAATAAAGATCCACTTAACCAAAATCAAACAAATCAAAGGAAGACAAAGTAAGATTCACTCTCTCTCTCTCTGTCACTTAGCCATCATGACTTTAACGAATTCATCATAGTTGATCTGACCATCACCATCAACATCAGCTTCTCGGATCATCTCATCAACTTCCTCATCCGTTAGTTTCTCCCCAAGGTTAGTCATCACGTGACGAAGCTCTGCTGCAGAGATGAAACCATTCTGGTCTTTATCGAAAACCCTGAAGGCTTCCTTGAGCTCTTCCTCAGAGTCAGTGTCCTTCATCTTCCTAGCCATCAGGTTGAGGAACTCAGGGAAATCAATGGTCCCGTTGCCGTCTGCATCGACTTCATTGATCATGTCTTGGAGCTCAGCTTCTGTTGGGTTTTGCCCTAGAGACCTCATCACTGTTCCGAGCTCCTTGGTGGTGATGCAACCTGCAACCACACCCCCAATGTATAAAGCTTTACCAAATACTATAATCAAAGCTCTTTCTACCTACTGGTTTTATATATAATGCCACTGCATTTTCTTATTAAGAGAACAGTCTTTTATTTTTATGCACACCAGAAATAAAACAGTCTTCTCAAAAGTCTTGCTAAAGTGTAAAAGAAAATGGAATTATTGTGTTTATTACATGTTTAGCTATGTGCATTGTACAAGTAAGAAACCTAGACTCATATGTGTATACTCGTAACAAATCTCTTTACATGATAACAAATCTCTAGTCATTTCCTTCTAATTAATAACACATATCATCGTACATGAACAATATTACAAGAATGAAGCAATACAACAGCCATCTCGATTGTTACTAATCTAGTAATTAGCACACAGACCAATTGGTATATGAGAACAAAACCAAATCTAACCCTAAACGAGAAAAGAAGAAGCGATCCAACGAGAAAGCAAGTACATATCGCGCAAGTCATGATTCGTCACATGCTAAAAACTAAATCGTTCACGAATTCAATTGAAACAAGGAGGTCCTGTACAGATCATGAATCGTGTCAAAAAAAAAAAAAAAAGTTTAAGAACTCAAAGAGCGACGACGGAGAGATAATCGAATGGGATCTGATAAGAGAAGATTATACCATCGCCATCCTTATCGAAGAGGCTAAAAGCTTCCTTGAACTCTGAGATCTGGTCATCCGTTAGCTGATCCGCCATTTTTTCCTTCGTCTGAGAGCTTTTCCCGAGAGAATCTTTTTACTACTGCTTTACTTTTTCTCTGTAATTGTTTATAAAGAGAGCGCAAATATATGATTGGGCCTTTGATGATAAACTAAGCCCTTTATCATTTCGTCTTTATGAAATATCAAATTGATTTGATTAATCAATGATGTTTACGGGATTAAACTTCATGAGTTTGGAACACAAAAGCGTTTAGAACAATTTGATGAGACGCTAAAATAAAAAAGAGACGCCGTTTCCGGGGATCGAACCCGGGTCACCCGCGTGACAGGCGGGAATACTTACCACTATACTACAACGACTTTGTTGATAGACGAACGTCTAAAATGTAAATGAACTTTCCATGTTTTACCACGTCAAAGATTTTCTTGGAATTGTTACAAATTTTCGATTTTATGCTAAGTATAGAACTCTGATTCATAGTATGATAGTATCCATAAAGTCTCTGGAGATACTATTAGAGAATATTTACTTTGAACCTTTGAAGTTAGCAATAAGTTCAAAATTGAAACTGTTATTGTTATCTGGTTAGAAATGGTTACTAAGCTAGAGGTAAAGGAGCTAATGAGAGAAAGGCTAGAGGAAGAATGGTATGGATTGACTTTTTCCCAACAATCCAACATATTTCAAACCTAATTGAAGTTGGACTTGATTTATATATTGAACTTTTACGGAATCGTGGAATGAAAGCGTGTATTTACATGTGCAATTGATACTTCCGCTCCACGAGTTTCAAACCAGAAACAGTGTATCCATCTACTGTATTTCTAATATTTTTAAAATAATTTAACTTGCAATTCTACATTACTACTGGTAAATGTAGTCCACAAAAGTAAAGATAACATAACTAATAGAGATAATTATATAACTATTAGCTTCCATACAAAACCAGTATGACAGAACTAATCAGGAAAACTATATATCACTTTGAATAATGAAAACGAAAACAAGTTGACCTTTACATAGTCTCGTAAAGAAGTAAATCAACTTGATAGATAAAGACATAATACCTAGAGAATAGAAGAATTGTAGAAACTTGTTTGATAAGCTAACGAGGCAAACTCGTTTTAGTTAGGCCTAGGCACAGATCCAATATTCCGATTTTTTTTAAAGGTATTTGTGATTTGTTTCAAATGTCATGGATATCTAATTTTTCGATTTGTTTTTGTTTTGGTAAAATACGAATATTCGAAAAAACGAATATCTAAAAGATAAATAGATATTTTCAAATATTTACGAATATCTCATATGTTTAAATTAATACAAATAATCTTAAAAATTTGATACAAAATTATTTTGTAAAATATTTATTTTACATGATATAAAAGATAAAAGCTAAAAGAAATAGTGAATCTATATATTTTAAAAAAAAAACTTAATTAACAATTATAATAACACAAAACTCAAAAAAATTTATAATTGTCATTTTTTATCTTCTTTTATGTAATACTTTTATATAAGTAATAATGTGAATATAATTTTTCAAATCATATGTTAGAATAATAATTATAAATTTTTAATATACATTTAAAACTTTAAATATAATCAAGATATACATGTATTTATATATTGCCAGATCAGATTGAATATTCGTTTCCCATAATTTTAGTATTTGTGATTGCTTCACTTTTAACGGATATTGAGTTTTAAAATTTATTTTCCTCCGAAAGGTTATGAATAATCGAAATTTTCGGATCGAATCGAAACGAATAACGAATCGAATCAAATTTAACAGATAAAATGTCCAACCCTTGGTTAAGCACACCAATGATTGCCTAGAATTTTCTTGTGCCATTTACGATGATTGTAACTTGTAAGTTTATTTATTTTTTTAAAAAATATGTAAAAAAAAAATAGTAATTATAAAACTTTTTATTTCACAATAGAAAAAAGAAGCCAATATATTGTTAAAAAAGAAAAAGAAAAAAGAAGCCAATAAAGGTCGTCGTTTTAGTCGGAGAGGGGTCCACCGAGTCGAAACAACTTCGCATCAATCGAAACAAAAAAGTATAAATACCTCTCTCGACATTCATTCATTAGAAAGCCTCCCCAAAAAAAAAACGCTTTTTCTTCAGCAAGCAAAAGCCGAAAAGACTTGACGACGCGATGACTTCTTCTCACGAACAAGATCCAGAGATCCTCCCTGACGCCGAAGAAGAAGCCAATCTCCCCGACGAAGATTCTCCTGTTATCCTGGAACGGGATCCTATTGATCAAACCCTCCCTCTATTCAATGACGCCGCTTTTCAAAACCTCTGCCACGTGGCGGAGATGTTTCAAGATCGAGAAAAGGCACGAATCCGAGAGGAGGAGGAGCTCGAGGAGAAGAGGAGACGGTTCGCTGAAGAGAGAGCTGAGATGCACAGACAATACGTTTTCGAAGTGGCTAAAGCTTACGCTCTCGAATTGCATTCTGAACAAACTCAAAAACAAAGCAAAGACGACGAAGAAGAAGAAGAAGAAGAGGTTGAGAATGGGAAGAGTCGATTCGATGATGCGAAGAAGGCGATCAAGAAGAGGAGGAGATACTCTAGATCGAGTTCTAGTGTTGTTGATAGTTCATCAATTGAGTTGAATATGATGACGACGAAAAAGACGGCTCCTATGTTGACGGAGCTCTGTGTGAGAGCTCTTGCTGAAAACTCTGGAGCGATTAAGTCTTTGTATCTTGTCCCTGATCACTTGAGGAAGAAGATATCGAGTCTTGTTAGTGATTTGAGTAGAGTAGACAAAGGTTTCGTGAAGCTTCTTGTTGATGATTCTCCTTGTGAGGTTTTTGTGAAGAATTGTGTTGACTTGGAGGAGAATGATTTGACTCAGATACTTAGTGGATGTGATAGAGCTCGCTTGGAGGTAGTTTTCATTATCCTTTAGTTCTTTAAACTCTTTAGCTGTAGCTAATAGGTTTTGATTTTTGATTTTTGATTCTCTTAGGTGTTGAATCTTGATCTTTGTGGACGAGCTATGACGGAGAATGCTATAACCGAGTTCTTGAAACTCTCTCCCAGTGGTTTCCCTTCATTGACTAGGCTATCTTTACAAGGAGCGTTTTGTTTGACAGACAATGCATTGGCTTTGGTATCTAAATCAGCTCCTCTGCTTCGGGTTGTTAACCTTAGTGATTGCTCGCTTCTCACTTTCCAAGCTGTGAAGATTCTTGCGGATTGCTTTGGTTCCACTCTTAGAGGGCTTGACATTGGAGGGTGCCAAGGGATTAAGCCGTCTGATGTGTTTAGGAATAGTTTGAGTAGGTTTGAGAAGTTGAACTCTCTCTCGGTTGCTGGACTTGAAGGGATTCATGATGTTGTTGTTGGGTTCTGTACTTCTCGTGGGTCTAGTCTCACTGATCTTTCTCTAGCTTCTTGCGTGTAAGTTTGAATGATGGAACTAGTTGGATGGTTTTTTTTTTTGTCTGCTTGAACTAATGTTTTTTGAGTTTTCTTTATGGTGATCAGAGGGGTGAATGATGGAACTCTTTGGACTGTTGGGAGATATTGTCCAAACTTGGAAGCTCTTGACATCTCAGAGTTGGATAATTTGACTGATGCATCGCTGAAAGAGATTACAGATGGTTGCAGATCTTTGAACTCGGTCAAACTTAATAGAAACCGATTCAGGTTTGCTCAAGTCTCACCATTTGTTTTCTTTTTGAACAGAATGTCTGTATATTGTTGTTAATACCAATCTATGTGCTTTCCTTGTTAGTGATGAAGGTGTAGCCGCGTTTCTCGAAGTTTGTGGTGGTTCTCTTAACAACCTCTGCCTAAACAATGTCAGAGAAGTGAGTGTGTTTTAGTACATAATAGTCTCATCCTCTTTTTTATATGCTGGTTTCTTCCAAGTGATTAAAGGAGTTGTGTCGTTGTGTGTGTTTGTGTTTGATTAACAGGTCGGTCAAGAGACTGCTATTTCGCTTGCCAAATATTGTAAGAGGTTGCATTATTTGGACCTCTCGTGGTGTAGAAAACTAACAGAAGAAGAACTAAGAAGGATCATGAGTTGCTGCTCGTTACTTAGATCGCTTAAGCTATTTGGATGGACGCAGGTATGAACATATAGTAAAGAAGGCTGTAATAAAGCCTACACTTGTGCTTCTATTGTTTTGTTTATGTTGAACTCTACCTCAGGATGATATGTGTAAAGCATTTAAATTGGTGGTATTATCCTTGTAGGTGGGGGAGGAATTTCTTGAAGATCTATCGAGATCAGAAGTTAACATCGTTGGATTGAAAATGTCTTCACTGTTCGCTCATCCTGATGATTCTTACCCAAGTGTGGGTGCCAAGTGCTTTTGATGAGTACACAAGTTTTGGCCATGTTTATTAATGTAGTCATGAACTATCTTCATTGTTAGACTAAAAAAACATCTCCAGAGGTTTATAGTAAGGAAACACTACTAATAGATTAATAGTCTGTTACAATGTCTTCTTGTAATATGTGGTCACTAGAAACAAAAGTTTCTTTTGAACTAGTGGAAATCTACAGACAAGGCTTTCTCTATTCTCTTTCTGTGTAAATTGTTACACATACCATTGTCTTCTTGGTTTTGGCCATTGACTTTGTCCATGTATTGTGACCAGAGGTTGACCAGGTTTGATCCTTGCTGGATTCACAGGCTCTGTGGTTCGTTTGGTGGGTTGTTGCCTCTCCTTAAACCTTTGGTAAAAGTTGATAATGAAGAAAAAAAAGCTTATCTATTTGCCTTGAAATTTTGCAAAACTCACAAAGAGTATATGTATATCAGAGACACAAGTCTTTTTTTATTCAAAGACTCAAAACGTATAAATCACATCTGAAGTGTAGAAAGAAGAGTTTTCTTTAGAAAGCTTCAGTTCATGGAACCAGAGCTTGGTCTATGGTCCTTGCTGCTAGTCAACCTTATTCTTCTCATCCACTTTTTCTCGCATGATGATGGAGAAGCCGCTCCTTCAGCTGGAGGGAGCTCACAAGGAAGCGCCATAGCACTGCTAGTGAAGGCGTTGAGAACAAGGAAGGCCAAGATGGGAGACAAATCCAATCCTCCAAGAGGCGGTATGACTCCCCGGAATATGTTCAAGTATGGATCGCATAAAGTGCTGTTACAAACGGTAACACATCAGAAAGTACAAGCCAAAAGACTATCTTAAACATTGACAAGTGAGTGGCATTTCTCAAAATAGGAGCAGGGAAAACAGTTACCTGAGGGGGCTAACAATGGCAGGAGGAGCAGTAGGGAACCAGGTGAGTACTAGACGGACAACAAGGACGTTGCTATATATGTTGAGGAAGTTTATCAACCCATTTGCAACCACCATTCCTGCTACTGAATCTCCTGGCAGAACCGCCGCAAACCCGTGATTAGACATCCCAAAACTCACCCTTGTAGTGTTTCTCAAACGAATCTGAAAAACAAAAACAAAAGGCTCTTTCACCTTTAAACAAAGCTTTTACTTAAACAGAGTTTCAACTTTGAAAAAATACATAGACATAGTGAAGAGTAGAACCAAAAAGATCCCAACTTTAGGACATAACAAAACGTTGTCTGAATATTGCTAAGTGATATAAAAAAATGTCGATTTTGGAACAGAGATGTTACCTCGTCGCAAAGACATCGAAACTCGGAGGATAAGCGAACCGCTTCTTGAAACAAAGGGTTTCTAGAGGCGAGTGAATGGAATAAGCCTGTGAATTTCTCAGTAACAGAGACCAGAGAACGATGGAAGTCTTGAATCAACTTGACGGAGTCTGAAGCTGGTGGTAGAAGTAGCAAACTGGGTTTGTTCATACGTATTAGAGGTGTTTGTGAAAATGCGGAAGATAGCGATACGAAAAAGTTCGGTATGGATCCTGACGGAGAAGGTTTCAGGCTTTTCGTAGATGCTTCGTTCGTATTCGTCTCCATTGCTGTAGAGCTCTCTGAGTTTTTTTTTCGTACAAGGAGATGCTGAAAAGAAGATAAAGTACGTTCAGGAAGTTGAAACGTGGCGTTGTTTAAAATCACTGTCTCTCAGCGACTCTAAAACCTTCTACATCAGTTAAAAGGTCTTACCTATTCTTTCTTCTTTTTTCGGTCCAAAGGTCTTTTACGTCTACATACTGTACTGTAAACAACCCTTTCAAGGGTGCACAAAAAAAAAAAAAAAAAAGTGCACTTTTTTTTTTTTTTTTTTTAGTGCACAAAAAAAAAAAAAAAACAACCCTTTCAAGGTTTTGTAATTTCTTCCATTTTGCAAGTTTTTTTTTGGTAATTGCGGTTACAATGCACTTTCTTCCGAGCATAGCAAAAAATAATGGATACAACAAATGCGTCTACGTAGAAAGGTGCTAATGGATACAAACTCCATGATCTTCTTCTCACTATTCTCTTATCAGTTACATCTATTAATTAATTACTACTTGTCATATCATAAAATCAATATAGTTTCATAATTAATGGTCTGATTGATTTTATGATATGAAAGTTTCATATGGTTTAGCTAGTATTTAGAACTAGGATTAAGAACAAAACGGGATCGATCCATTAAAATGTTTGATACACGTCTATACATTCTCTACATGTTACTTCAAAAATTAACTTAAAAACAAATGTAATCGTTCCTAATTAAGAGTCGGTGGACCCAATACCATTCGTCGTCGTCGCCGGGAAACACCTCGGAATATCAGCTACCGAATAAGATCTCCAGGCATAAAACCCCGACGACTTCATATTACCAAAAGACCCTTGACTCCTAGGATACAGCGGAGGAAGCACCATCTGCCTTCCCGACGATGAGTCTCTCCCGGAGGAAGATCCTTCTCCGGCAGCAACTGCCATGGCAAGCGTCAACGCGCTCCTACTCGAGCTCATGATGTGTTTCTTAGAGATCCTTCCACGCGGAGTCGTCTTGTTGCTCTCCCATATCTGATGGCAGAGGAGATTCCTCCGACGACGACTGTAAGCATTCTCCGGCTTCGCTAAGTCTTTCATGGAAGACGAAGAAGCCAACGTAGACGCAGCTTCTAAGTTCGTGAACGACTTTGACTTTCCATTGTAATAATTCGATATCCCTTTCCTACACAAACCATAGTCAAACAAACATCAGTACTTTTGTCTTAAAAAGTTTCTAAAAACGTTGACTTTCTTGATATTCAGACAGCAAACCTAAGTTTAGCAGTTTTAATAAGAGAGACTTTACCTAACGGGTAAGACTTCTTCGAGAGCTTCCATCAAATCAAGAGGACCCTTGTACGATGACTCAGCTTCATTAACTTCCCCGTCCTCCTCCGATGAAGATAAAGACTCAAAAGAAGATTGATACAGATGATCACCGGAGTTATTAATCACGTAAGATTCAATTTTATCCATCGCAGTGGACATTTGGAATTTAGCAGATATCTTTGGAACTTGTAATTATATTCTCGAACTCACAATAGAGGAAATGAAAGTGGAAGAGAATGTTGAGATCTTTATAGTTTGATCTTTCTGCCTGCGTGCTCTTATTGTTATTACTTTCTTTAATTAAATGTTGAATAGAAAATTTTTAAAAGTGAGACCTATAAAGAGAGGGACAAAAAAAACTGTTGACGAGACCTTATCCACATTAACACTTACGTGGCGATTCCTTAGTCGTTGCGGCTGGATAGGACCTAGGAAGAATGTGACGTGGCTGTACCCAGATGGTTGTTTCCGAGAAACGGTGAGGCTTATCTACAGAGGAAGAAGAAGATGGACCCACAAAAGCCGATTTGATCCGACAGTATTTTTATTCATTTGGTATTTAATTTTTCGAAATAGTTACCTTTTTCATTGGGAGAAAACGAATAAGAGCCGAATAAGATTTTCACATTAAATTGTGAAAATATCCTCTTACCAGTTACCACTTTTGGAACGTTTAATGTTTATGTTATTTTATCATTCAGTATAGTACATGTCCAAATTTTCCAAGATTTTTGTCATTGTTACTTTATAGGTAGAACATCATTGTCGTTAGTATTATCATTATCGTATAGTTACCACCATGGTCTATATATCTTCGTAATTCATTTTATTTCATATTTAAAGTTAAATATATAAAAATTATAGAAAATAATTTAACCAACAGAAAATACCGTCTTAAATAACTGATCATAAATATTATCAAATAATATAATCTTTTTATTTATACTAACGAGAACATTATTTATTTTTTAATCAAAATGAATTCTTTGCCCGTCAAATATATTAAAATAAAAAGTAAATTCTAACATCTTAATAGTTGACTGACACACTACAAGAAAACACGTCCTTTACTAGGACGGGTTTTCCTCGTTATTTCCTAGTAAAGGGCCCTTTACTAGGAAATAGCGAGGAAACGTGTTTCGTCGAAAGACGTTCATCGTAAAGGCTATTTTCCTCGTAAAGGCCTAGCTAATTTACGAGGAAAGATTTCCTCGTAAAGCCGTGGAAACAATTTCCTCGTAAGC